TTTTTTCTATTTCATTTCAATTTCAACTGATACGTTTATTTTTTGTGTAACAGAATAAGGCCACAGTAAATAAGGGCAATAGGAAGAAGAAGACTCTTCTCCACCATTCAGGTTTTAGGCCCTTAAAGGATGGACACATGACGATGGGTAATAATAAATTAGTTTTATATCCAATTTTGAATATGTAATTAATAATAATTTCTATTTTTCGTACTAACATTTTTCTTGTCTTGTTCAATTCAGGGGGGTCCAAATTCTCGGAGATCGACGTCTTTGGCGACGTTTATGTTCGACCTGGGAATGAGTTGGCCGACTCCATTCATGTAAGTATTCTTTAATTTTAATTATTATCTACGCATTCAAGTTTCATGGTTATATGAATGTTTTAATTAATTTTAATATTTTATGTTTTAATTCTTTCATTTTAATTAAACAGACGACGATGGTAGAGAAGAGCCAGTTGGTTCTTCAGGAGTCTGCCTCCCAACTTCCTTTCGATACTCCGCTCAAGTCTGTGCATCCTCCACAGGATGTAGGGTTTCAGATCTTGACGGAGACGTTGGATCAGACTCTCGGGAGGAGGCCCGGGACATATTGTCGAGGGATGGGGAATGCCCGGCGGCGGGAACCTATACCCCGTTCATCTTCGCAGTCAAACGAGGTGACTGCTTTGACAGCGACGGTGGCCGAGCTTAAGGGTCAGATGTCTATGATTCTAGAGTCCCTTGCTCGGTCAGGCATTCCAATCCCGCAGTTTGGTTCCTCCTCAACCTCCTAGCCCCCCCAACCTGCCTACCAGACATCTACCCCTGCCAACAATGCCCAGACGTCCGAGCCGCATCTCGCAGACGACCACGTTGATTTTGGAACTTTATTCGATTAGTTTTTTATTTGTTATTACATTTTAACAATTTTTCTTGTAATTACATTTATATTATTTTATAACATTTCTTTTCTCTTCATTACATTTGTTTAATGCAAGTTTCTTTTATTGAAAAAAAAAATAAACCAAAATTTAAATTTAAATTAACAAAATCAAAGAAACGGAAAATTAAATTTAAATAAAAAAATATTTATTTTTGCACGACGTAAATTTTTTCTGTCGCGCATATGTTTGCGCGACGACTTTTTGCGCGACGAAAACCATTGGGTCGCGCAAATTAAAAATTAAAAATAAAATATTTTTATTTTTGCGCGACGTAAAATATTTCTGTCGCGCATATTTTTTTGCGCAACGAATGTTTTCCGTCGCTCCGAGATTGCGTAACGAAAACTTTTTCGTCGCTCTAACTTTTGCGCGACGAAAATTGCACGACAAAAATGTCCCGTCGCGCAAATTTTGCGTAACGAATATATTTTCGTCGCACAAATGTTTGCGCGACGCAACATACTGCCGTCCCTGCACATTTTGAGCGACGAAGGCTAATCGTCGCGCAATTTTGCGCGACGAATGGAATTTTTTGGTCGCGCAATGTCTTTCTTCACGAACTTCGCGCGACGGATGCTGCGCGACGACATTTCCGTCGCGCTTAAGTTTTTGCGACTACATCCATCTTTGCGTGACGGAATTGTTTTCGTCGCGCAAACTGTAAAATGTAGTAGTGTGGAGAAAGAGTTGTTGTAACGTATTATTGTTAGTAGAGAAACAAATTTGACTTTTGTAGGGGTCTTTTTGTTCCAGCAGCCTGACGAATGGGCTTGGGCTGCCTTAAGAAGACAACGAACAAATTCCCCAAAAGCCTGATTTCGAAACCAAGCTCCCAAAAGGGTTTTTATAAGATCCGACGAGACTTTAGAAAAACACTCTTAGGTTCATCTCACTAACACCAGATAAGCATGATAAACTGATTAACGGCTTAGCCTGAGGAACCTGTGGCATGAGAGCTAAGCTTTCACAAGTTTAGCAATTTGAGAGAGAGAGACATGAATTTCTTATAGAGAACAAGAGCCTGAAGTGAACAGAGCACTATTAGAACGATTCCTATCCTAAAAGGGAGAAGGAAACGAACGAAAGAGGAGATTGAGTGTCTTGAGTGAATTCTCAGATGCTTTGACAAAGCTTGGTCAGGCCTCTGAGTGGGTTGATTTTCTGGGTAGCAAAAGCCCTCTTTTATAGGCATGAAGAACCCTAATTTCGTCTAATCCTTTCCCTCCCTTTCTCGTTGCTTCCTTCCACTTAACCTTTTGGGTGAAATTCTTCCGTTCGAGATGCATGGGTAAGGGACCCTTTGTGGTTCCAATGGTTTGACGTGGTTGGACCTCCCTATGAGGGCAAGGCGCCACCTGCTTTCTCTCTTTGGTTTTCGAAACGAAGCTCGTAATGGAAAAGGGGACGGATAGAGCCTTTGTCCGATGGGTATTTGTCCTTCACCCATAAATCTCCGCTGGTTCTTGTCATGGCTCCTTGTCTGACTTGTTTGGAGTCCTAACAGGGATGGAGCACGACACCAGCTTTTTAGAAGGCTTTGGGCTGGGCTTGTGTGTATAGTATCGGATTAACAGCGTGTTATCTCCAGCATCTAATGGGCTTTTTGCCAAGCTGCTGGAAGTGACTTTAGTTTTTTAGGCATTCTATTGATATGAGCTGGGCTACTAGATGATTTCCTAAGGCTTTGGACCATTTTCTCTTCTCTCTCATGCTAACCCATGTGTTTGGGTTCTAAGAACTGGCTTGAGTTTTAATGCCCCCAAGTGGCTTAAAACGTGCGCTCCTCGAACCCTCAATGGGCCCTGTGATTGCTTGTTCCCTTCCATGCCACAACCTTCTCAGTAAGCCCCGGTTAAATTTTTTTGTGGCTTGGGTTCACTTGAGTCATAGCTTGGTGTTAAAATAATGGCTCTTTTCACATGATGCCTATGCTTACGCTTGAGTTTTATTATTCTGGGTCAAGTAACACCTGATGAGCACGTGAGCGTGATTTTTGTAAGATTGATGTGTTTTATTTGGCCCCTTTGTATGGTTTACTTGGCATGGCGCGTGGCTGGTAGCATGTAATAGCGGGTCCCACAAATGCCCCTTCGTTCCAATTAAACCCCTTTTGTATCTTCTTTTCTGTGTTGGGCCAGGAATTAATTTGGGCTTAACCCCTTGGATTTTTGGGCCTCAACAACTTTGAGAAATTATTTGATTTTTTTACATGTCAAAATTATATTTTAAAGCTTAAAATATGAAGTAAATGTCACAAGGAGTTCGTAGGATTTTTGTTATTGTGAATTTTTGTGAATTTTTATGAATTTATTATTATTTTTGGACGTTAAAGCATTGTAAAACAGTAGTAAATGGAACCAATGACACATGGCATCGTCTCATTGGTGCGTCATCAGAGCAAAATTATCAATAGAATTGGAAACCAAGCGGCAGATCATTTGGCGTCGCTGGCACTCACGAGGTCGATAGTCTTGGAATCTAGACCCCCGACCTCTCTTGTGCATGTACTTAACAACGATGGCCTTCCTTGCCCTCCAGGATACTAAGGATCTCCCGTACTGTTTAGTGAGCTTGACATCCTGTTTTGGAATGTCATACCCTGTTGCTTCCTGCGCAGTTTATGTTAGTTGTATTTCCTTTCTTCACTGTTTGCTTTATTCCTAGTTTCTGCTTTTACTCTTGCGTTTGCTGAGGTGTGTCTGTGCCTTCAGCCATTGTCTGTTTGTTTCCTCTTTGTTTTGGTGGAATAAGTATCTTTTCGAAAGAAAAAAAAAAACAAGAAAAGTCAATGGGAGAGATGCTCTGGAGCCGGCAAGTTTGAATTATTGCTGATTGGCGAGCTCGTTTGAAGTTTCCACTTTCTGCAGATATAAATGTACGAACCAAACTGAAACAACCACAGAGAGCAAATGGCAGGAGGAGTGAGGAGGATCAAGTTGGGTTCACAAGGCCTTGAGGTCTCTGCTCAAGGCCTGGGATGTATGAGCATGTCTGCCTTCTATGGCGCTCCGAAGCCCGACGCAGACATGATCAGTCTCATCCACCATGCTATTGACTCCGGAGTCACCTTCCTCGATACCTCTGACATCTACGGCCCCTTCACCAACGAAATTCTTCTTGGCAAGGTACGCGACTAAACTTGACTTTGCTTATAATCACTCTTAATTTGTATCAATTGCTTTTTGGGTTTGTTTGGGCTGTTAAATTGGATGAGTTGATCATGAACGGAATGGGTTCTGTTCACTCTTGTTCCTGTCTTTAAGTTACTAAATCAAGCACGAGCACTGAGAGAGACAATAATTTTTATAATTGCTTTGTGGTTTTTGTTTGTATTGTTGAATGGGATGAACTAATGATGAAGTGAATTGGGTTGTGTTCATTTTTGTTCTTGTAGTTGAGTTACTATGCCAAGCGCAGTCACTATATATAATTACCTTTTGGGTTTTGTTTAGATTGTTCAATTGATTGTAATTGATGATGATGAAGTGAATTGGATTTTGTTGGATTGATGAGGAACAGGCTCTGAAGGGTGGGGTACGAGAGAAGGTTGAATTGGCCACCAAGTTTGGTATCAGCTTTGCTGATAACAAGCCGGAGGTTCGAGGTGATCCTGCATATGTGAGAGCTGCTATTGAGGGTAGCTTGAAGCGCCTTGGTGTTGATTCTGTTGATCTCTATTATCAGCATCGGATTGATACCCGTGTACCCATTGAAGTCACGGTTTGTTTTCTTCTCTCTTGAATTTTGATATTACAATCGCACAACAATTGTGTTGATAACTTCATGTGATGATAAAGTTTCCACTGAATTGAGAAAACAAGACATGTGTCTTTAGTAAGAATGATGCTCGAGGAGGACTAATTGAAATTAGTAACTACGCATCTGCAGGTCTACCGAAGTCATGGTTATTCAAAGACCTACAACATCTTTTATCATTTTATTAGTTCAATCCCCATTCAATTCGTTTGTCTTCTACCAAGTAGAAGTATGGTTTGACCACATCTTTTGACTAAAACCCCTTTTTTAGTTCCATTTTCTAAATTACATTGTGTTGAGTTGTTCAAGCGTGAAAAGGTTGTCTTTGATGAGTGTCTTTTTATATCTTTACGCGTCAAGTGATGATGAACTTGTTATAAAAGTTTGAATTACTCTCAGTTATTTATCAACAATTTTAGAGATGGTTTGTGTAAATCTTCTAACTGATTTTAACTGAAAAACATTTCATCTTGATTTTTTCTTTGTTTGCTCAGTTATTACAATCTGCGCCATTTCCTCCCCACTAGATGAGAGGGTCTTAATTGTTTGGGCTGTGTTCTGTGTGTGTGTGTGTGTGTGTGTTATCTTTATCATATGTCTGAACTCTGAACTGGATATAGGCAGTAGCTATGTTACTTTCCTTATATGCTTGACTGTTAGTATTATTCTTTTTTGTACTGGCATGCATCATGATTCACTTATTTTGAGAAATGCATGTCATTCCTTAAATTCCTTTATCATGTCATTTACAAGGTTGGGGAACTCAAGAAACTAGTTGAAGAAGGTAAGGTAAAGTACATTGGACTATCCGAGGCCTCTGCTTCCACAATAAGAAGAGCACACGCTGTTCATCCAATAACAGCTGTGCAGTTGGAGTGGTCGTTGTGGTCAAGAGATGTGGAGGAAGATATAATTCCTACTTGCCGGTGAGTCTTAATGGAACTAACTGATTTGTTTATAAAGTAGGTAAAATTTCATGCTAATCTCTTTTTTTGATTTTCCCAGGGAACTTGGCATCGGCATTGTTGCATACAGTCCTCTAGGAAGAGGATTCTTTTCATCAGGAGCTAAGTTGTTTGAAAATCTTCCCAATGATGATGTCCGAAAGGTGTGTTGATATGCCACATAGATATTGATTTTCAAGTGCAGAAGTGCATGCACATTAGAGAAAATTAGTAGCATTGTGAATGTCCTTGTATCTCCTAGAAAGTTCTCAGATTAGTAATTGATCTCACAAGTTTTAGTAATCTCCCCTTGCAGGCTAGAACCCTCTTGTTGAGTTCACACGGAAAAAAGAAATCTTTTTAGAATTTCTGTATCCAAGTATCCCTGATTTATCCAGATAGTCCCAAGGCTTAAATATTCTTAATATAATCCTGTTCTAAGGTAAAAAATTCTCAAAGTTGAATTGGGCCAAATCAGAATGATTTCTTTTAATATTATTTATTTATTTGTTTTTGGAATTCACTTCCCACCCTTGTTATAATTTGAAGAAACAAACATGCTAGCCAGGTTGCCCATCAGCTTCTCCTTATTTCATAGAAAGTAACTGTATTTTTGTGTTCACCCCAGGTAGACTAATTATCTGGTAATTGACAGTGCACTGTCTGACAGTGTTACTCAAGTTGAAAAAAGAAAAACAAAGGAATAACGTGTTATGATCATTATCATTATGAACCTGCCTTAGTTGACTTCTTCACTGCAATCCTCAAATATTTTGTAATGCCATGAAAATAATGGATTTCTACACAGCATCTGAAGGAGTCTCTATTGTAGTGTTACAAAGTTATATTGACTTCTTATCAGGGCCTTTGAATTGTGCCTCCTCTATATCATATCATTTTTATAAAGTCATTTTAACCTTGATTACTTTGTTGGTTGCAGTATCTACCTAGGTTCCAAGCCGAAAACCTAGAGCATAATAAAACAATATTCGAGCGGGTTAGTGATCTTGCAGCAAGGAAGGGGTGCACCCCATCTCAGCTAGCACTGGCCTGGGTTCATCATCAAGGAAACGATGTGTCCGATACCCGGAACCACCAAGATTGAGAATTTTAACCAGAACATTGGTGCTCTCTCTGTGAAACTGACACCAGAAGAACTGGCTGAGCTTGAATCTTTTGCTTCTGCTGATGCCGTTAAAGGTGACAGATATCAGAATGACTTTAGTACTTGGAAGAACTCTGAAACTCCTCCAGTGTCTTCATGGAAAGCCGCATGAGCATGTGCCTTTTGTCATGCCATAATGCTTCTTTGTACCCCATGAGCTTTGTAAATTTCTTTCCCGTTATGAGAATAAGTAGTTCATGTGAAGTGGTATGTAATGACTGACTTTGAGACGTTTGTCATTTTGTAAGCAGATTTCATCATGTTGTATGAGTATCTAAAAGTATGAAATAATCTGGGGTCAAACGAAGTTTTTCATTTTATTTCTTTGACTTAATTTTCTCTGTCACTAGCAATTTTTAAGAGATCAAACTCTTCCACTCTCTCCTTACCTAAGACTGCCTTCATACCCCTTTTCCTATCTTTAAGATCCAACAACCTGTCTTTTGGAACTAACTGAACATCATTTCCCTTGGCAGCAATAAAATTTCTGTTAGAAGCTGCAACCGTTCCTTTACAAGCATAACATTTCCTTTAGAACCCTCAACATTTTCGTTCTTTTTTTTTTTTTTTTTTTTTTTTTTTTTTTTTTTTTTTTTTTTTTTTTTTTTTTTTTTTTTTTCCTATTTTGATAATACAATATCTATACTATTATAATGTACAAGGAGGGGATCAGATGTGGGTAAAAAGGAAGGGGTACCCTGCTTTGCGCAATTAACCTAACTCTGTGGTTATAATTTTGGGTCAACTTGATTGAATAGCTCAACTTGATAATAAGAAGGTTGGCTAGTAATGAGTGGGTATTGGGTTCAAAAAATCATAAACCGCTATGTACGAGTTGGAACCAAAACTTAAGAGTGGGCATAATTTTGAGTTAACCTAACCAAACGGCCCAACTTAAGCACAAAAGAGTCTGATTGGGTGGGCCTAATAATAAGCACGTCCCAAGAAATCATAAGCCGCTATGTATGGGTTGGATTAACGATTAGGACCAAAACCGACCCAACTTGTGCCGGCATCTGCCCATCATCTTCCCCCAACTAAATGCCAAGTCATAATGCGGTAGTTAACCCAAGAAAAAGAAAAACTAGAAGAACCCAACCACTCAGCGCCCCTACCTCTCTCCATCCATGAGGAGCCGCGCCTGCCCCCCTACGCGGTCACCGACAAGTCCCTATCCCTCTCTCACTTCTCTCTTCCCTCATTCCTCCCTATAAAGTAGAATAAATTAGAGATATTTAGTCATATACTCATTTTTAGCACTAATAATATAGATAAACCATACACCATTTCATTTCTATAAATAAACCCAAAAAAGACCCCCAAAATGACAGCTGGCCCTATTGAATTTAATTTTTTATTATTAATTTACTTTGATACCTTAATGAGTATTTTGGGTTTTTTTTATGAGGTTTTTGGATTGGGCTTGTTTTAAGAAATTGATGACAGCTTTGTAATTTATAAGAAGTTAAAAGTCTCTTTGTTATGTTATAAATGGACTTTGGGTGTGTTTCTAAAGTCTATTTCATATAGGGTATTTTTACAAATTGGGCCCCTATATTGGGTATAATAGTGAATTTCCCAATAAATTTTTCCAAGAGGACCAAACAAAAAAAAAAATCATGACAACAAGACCATGTTTCCCAAACTAGAAGGTCGTGGTACAAATATATATATATATAACAAAAGGCAAAAAATGGTAAAACATTGAAAATACCAGAAAATGTCATTGGTTAATGCAAACATTAAGAATTGAAATTATTAATTAAATGAGAATAATATGGTAAATTCACACTTTTTCATATTAAAAAAATAAAATTAAAAGAAAAATCAGATAATTGATCATATTTTTATGGTGCACAACTACCCATTATCTTTTTTAATTCTAAAATAAATTTATAAAATTTATATAAAGAAAATCTCACAGGAGTGGAAGAGTGTGCGGAGAAGCTAGTATATATAAAGCAAAGGTAGAGAATGGTGAAACATTCAAAATACCAAAAAATGCAATTGGTTAATGCAAATATTAAAAATTAAAATTATTAATTAAATGAGGATAATATGGTCAATTTATATTTTTATATTAAAAAATTAAAATTAAAAATAAAATCTGATAATGAGTCCTATTTTTATTGAATAACTACTCATTTTATATTTTCGTAATATAGTCAATTTAGAGCTTCCACAATCATGCTCTCTCTTTTTTTAGTTAAAATCTCGTTAAAAACACTATAAAGCTATTTTAAGAGCTCTATAAAAAATTTCAACTTCAACCATACTCCCTAGTTTAAAGAATAATAAATCTTTTAAATATTTTTTAATTCAATTTTTGAATAAAGTGTAGACACAAAAACAACAATAAAAAATAGTTGACATTAAATAAATGTTAAAAATAATATTAACTATCGAAGCATTTAATTATAGGGAGTCATTAGGAGTGATTTCTTATTTTTATGAAACACAACTACCCATTATCTTTTTTAA